CTTGTTGTATGAAATAAGTAGGAAAGTCACAGGCTGGGTTCAAAATATGCTTGTCTTCTCTCAATAATTAATTGTTTGTGGATTAATATGAGGTTTTGTGTTTTGAAAGTAAACTAATCCACTCACTGGCTGGTGTTTAATGAAGGAGAACAGGCTGCTGTCAAGCAGTCTGAAAATAGTGAAAATTAACTCCATGAAGTGTCACGACTCACATATTTTATGTATATGAGTAATGTGTCTTCTGTGGGACAGAAGATGAAAATACCACATGGAAAAGAAAAAATAGTGTCTGCCAATTTAATAAGAAAAGCAGGAATAATTGCTTTGACATAATTTAGAGTTTTGACTACTTGGTGGCAGCTGGACTGGGCCACTGCAAGAGAATCCACTGCAGGAGAACTCACAAACAGTAGGAACCAAAGGTTCTGCAGCCTCTGTATTCACAGAGCTATCAAAGAGGAAAGAAAATATGATTAAAAATCAGAACACACTGAAATCATAGAGTTCCTCCCCAGGTTGGAAGGGATCTCAAGGATCATCCAGTCAAGCCTTTCTTGGCAAAAAAACTGGTCTAGACAAGACGTTCCAGCACTGATTTAAGGTTCACCAGCTGAACCTTAAAAGTGTCCAATACTGGGGAATCCATCACTTCTCTGGGGAGATTATTCCAATGACAGATTGTTCTTCTTTTGAAAATTTTTCCTCTTCTGTCCAGTCAGAATCTCCCCAGGGATAACTTGTACCCATTTCTCCAGTCCTTTCCTGGTAAAGAGGGAGACTCCATCTTCTTTGTAGCCACCCTTTAAATACTGGGACGTGGTGATAGATAAGGTCTCCCCTCAGCCTTTTCTCCAGGCTGAACAAACCCCATTCTCTCAGCCCTTCCAGTGGCATTAAAAGGGACAGGGCAAATACTGAGACACAAGTTCACTAATAAGTGGATTTTTTCTTGAGAGATGCCAAACTACTTCAGTTTTCTTTGGCTGCACGAGTGTTAAGACTGCAAGCACTTCAAAAAATTAGGATCTCTCAGAAAGAAAATAGAATAGGGATCATAAAGTCCTGCAGATAACAACCAGCCAAGGGTTCAATACCTACAGCAAAAAAACTAATACTTTAGTACCAGAAGGTTCCCATATACTTAATGATGTTGCTAGAAAATGGTTGATCTGTTTGAACTGCTCTTGTTCATTCCTGTGCAGGAGAATGTTATTCCCTTTGCCTCTCTGCACTTTTTCATTCTGCCATGGGGAGTGTGCAGAGAGAAGGCCATTGAAAAAGCCATATAAAACCTCGAGAATGCAATAAGCAGAACATGGCACTTTTAACACGACAAAACTACCAGCTTAGGTAAGGCTTGAAGTGCACATAAACTCCAGCACCTCCTCAGGCAAAGAGAGTCACAGTCTCAACAGAGAAGCAGCAAAAGGAGTTTAGATCATAAATGCTCTTCAGAACTACAGGCTTTGCTGCCTGAATGCACAATGAGCAATTCAAGGGCCCAGATATCTTCAAATCACCCAGGCTAAGCCAGGAGCGCACCTGCCCTGTGGGAGCTACAGTTCAATATTCTGACTCAGTTTGCTCACCAGCACGGGGTAGGTGATTTATCACTTTGGATGATTCCATCACTGCACACCTTTCCTTGCCATCCTGTTAAGATCTTCAGTTTTGTTCCTAAACTCTGGAGTTTTGATTGCATTTGCAGTAGCTCTGGCATTGCTGCAAGGTGCTGCTACTGCAGCAGGAGCAAATCCTCCTTGTGGCTTATTTGCTTCTCAGTTTCACTGAGCAAAATGCTCTTTGTGGCAGTGCCGGTGTCTGGTGGCACTCAGGGGAACAGCAGCCATGTCCCAGGTGTGGCAAACAGTCCATTTTTAATGCAGGTCCATCAGCTGCACCCTCAGCTCGAGTGGCAGCAGCTCCTTCCCCCTGGGTCTCCTGCTGTCACTCCCGTCTGCAGTCAGGTCTCCTGCACAGGCAGACTCCTCCAGCTGCCAGACACCTTTCCAGCTTTCATCTGCAGATGTTCTCAGGGCCAGAGCCCCAAAGTTTATTCCTCAGCCTTTCCCCCAAGAGCCCCCATCTTTCTGCTCATAATGCAGTTGCTTCGTAGCCTAGAGGGGAGAGGAAATAATGCTTCCTTCATTGGCCCTTTCTTTCTATCCTCCAGTTCTCTGTTCTCTTCCATCTTTTAGTCTTTTCACTCTGTGGGAGATTAAGGAAGGAATAGAAGCAGCTGCACAATCAGCAGAAAGAGAACAGGAGTTATAGGAACAGAGATGGGAAAGAGGAAAACAGAGTAGAAATAGAAAAAAAAAGTAAATAAAAGAAAACTGAGAAGGCAAAATAATAGAAAAATGAAGTAATTGATATTGCTTTATTTTACTTTGTGTCAATACAAGTTGTTTTAATTTCAGTCTAAGCCCAAAGAAAAGAGACAAACCGGAAATCCTGAAGCATGGAGCTGGACAGGTAATAAGGAAAAGGGGAAAGGGAATTCTCTGAGGCTGAGAACAAAGCTGACTCTCAGCAGGGACACCTTCCCCTCCTGCTCAGGCTCATGACCAAGCCTCTGCAGGGCTGTCAGTAGTGATTGTCACATGGCTGTGAGCCCTGCCCGGCCCTGGGCACAGCCCCAGCTGCAGGAGCAGACAGAATTCTGCTTTGTGCTGCTCCAGGAGCAGCGTCCCAGGGAGTCCATGGGGAACCACAGGGCTGCGGGGGATGGAGGCAGGGCTGGACCTTTTCCTTTTCACAATTAGATGGGAGCTGTTGAAAGCTGCTTTCATGGATGAATGCATGGAGAACTAAGGACGGCTGGCAACTGATTTGTTTGATTAGTTTATTGTACACCACAATTTCCTCTCCCAGATGAAGCAGGTCTGTCACTGGAGTGGGACTTCACAGTTACTGAACTCTCTGCCAAAACCCCTCAGCACCTCAGAAGTCTGAAGAGGACCTCAAGTAGGGCACAGACAAAGCCAGGGGGGCAGGAGAAACCGAGCTCATCAGAAAAGGCCAATCTGGGCACTGCACAGCTCCTGATTTGCAGTTGAACATCTGTGGATGCCAGCGGGGGCCCTGAGTGCTCAGGGAAAATCACAGAGCGGGGGTTCGGCCTTGGGTTGTCTCCATCCCACCAGGCCGGGCTCTGGCGGGGCAATCATGACATCCAGTGGGAAACTCCTGAACTACAGCAGCTTCTTGTGGGGGAATGAGCCGCTCCTGAGGCTCAAACTGCAACCGAAGGGTAAGACCATGGAAGGGAAATTGTTCAAGAAAGCTTCTGTGGTGAATGGCTCAGGACTGAGAGTTTCGTGCTGGTCTCCTGAAATCTGCAATATCTAAATGTGGTTTGAAATGTCTCTTGCCGAGGAGAAAAACACTCAGACTTTGGGGAAGAGTTGACATCTCAGTGGGATTAATCTTCACACAGGATTCTCACCTCCATGGAAGGTTTTATTTAATTATTTTTGTTTTAAATCTGTGACGCCCTGACCTTCTAAGATGTCTCAATGCCTACAAGGGGACTGGAGAGGAACTTTTGACAGGGTGGTGACAGGACAAAGGGGAATGCCCTTAAGCTGAAGAGAGGTGGATTTAAATTGGATATTAGGAAGAAATTGTTCCCTGTGTGGGTGGGGAGGCCCTGGCACAGGTTGCTCAGAGAAGCTGTGGCTGTCCCATCCCTGGAAGTGTCCAAGGACAGATTAGACCAGGCTTGGAGCAACCTGGGATAGTGGAAGGTGTCCCTCCATGGCAGGGGGTGGAACAAGATGACCTTTAAGGTCCTTTCCAACCCAAACCAGCCTGGGACTCTTAGCATCCTTAATATTCTATGAAATCCCAGTCTTCTAGTAGTTTCCCTCAGCTCTCCATACTTGTGTGCCATGTTTGGAACAGGCCTGGGGAGGATAAACAATCTGAAACTTAAACTGGAATAGATGTTTATGCCGTAAATACTTGGAAGCACAGACAGAAGCAATGCAGAAAGGACAAATAATCTCATAGAGCTGAGGACATGTGCCTGTCTTTTATGATTTCATTCTGCAGCCAGAAGGTCTGGGATCCCAGCCACTGCTCGGTGATCACACACCAGCTGCTTCCCAAAATGGTTTTTTCCCTCCACCACCTAATCACGAGACCAAAGGGGATTTTCTTTCCAACGTGTACTTTGATACTTTAATCCCAGCTCGCCACCAGCCCGGCAGTGGATTGGTGCAGGGTTTGTGAGGGATGACACCGATGTCAGCAGGGACTGAAGCGCCCCACGGCAGCGGCTCACCCTGGCTGCTGGATTTGGGTGTCACAGGAGGCTGGATCCACCCAGGATCAGCTCCTGAGGGCAGCCGGGGCTGGGGAGACAAATCCCTGCGCGGTTTAACCTGGCTGAGCAAGGATCTGCGGATGCTGCAGTGTCATGGACGTGTGGTCCCTGATGACGTCAGCAATGGCACGTTTCTTTACGTCACCGCACGTTGTCTGGTGAGAACAAACCCCGCTGGGTTCTGACCCACACGTTACAAACAGCGCCCGGTATCGCCGGCTAGAACCCCAAGGGCCCGCCCAGGCCCCGCCGCACCGGCTCCCCTGACGTCATCCCAGCCGAACAGTGACGTCACATTGTGTCCCGTTTGTTGGCGTGACGTCACGCCACGGGCGGCGCGCCCTCCTTCTCGTTATGCCACCAGGCCCCGCCCCCGACAGCGAGACCACGCCCTCTCGCTGCTGATTGGTGCTCGCGCACCTGTCCCCGCCCCCTCCCGGCACTGCCCGCCCTGCCTTGCCCTGAGCCGCGTCGCCTGCTTAGTCCCGCCCCACATGCCGGTTCATCCAATTGGAGAATGGACTCTTTGAGCGACAGCGCTGCCGCCCAATGAGGGTGGCGCGGGCGCCTCCCCGCGCGGGCGGCGGCGCTCAGGGCAAGGGGCCGGGGCCGCGTGTCCCCCGCCCGNGGGCCTGCGGGCCGCGCCCCGCCGCCCGCACCCCCTCCCCCGGCCGGCCGCTCCCTCCCTCCGCCGAGCCGGAGCGAGGAATGGGCGGTCCCGGCCCGTAGCCCCCGGCTGCGGCTGCTCCTCCTCCCGGTCGCAGCGTCTCGGCGGCCTCCGCCCGATGCTGGCGGAGCTCGGGGTCTCGGCGGCGGCGTTGTGAGCGCTCCGGCCGGGCCGCCGCCGCCATGTCCGGCGTGGTGCGCACCCTGAGCCGCTGCCTGCTGCCGGCCGAGGCCGCGGGCCGCGCCGGGGAGCAGCCGCGGAGGGACGGCAAGGAGCGGAGCCGCGATGCCGAGCGGGAGGCGCGGCGGCGCAGCCGGGAGATCGACGCGATGCTGGCCCGGGAGCGGCGCGCCGTGCGCCGCCTCGTCAAGATCCTGCTGCTGGGCGCCGGCGAGAGCGGCAAGTCCACCTTCCTCAAGCAGATGCGGATCATCCACGGCCGCGAGTTCGACCAGAAGGCGCTGCTGGAGTTCCGGGCCACCATCTACGAGAACATCCTCAAGGTGAGGGGCGGCGGAGGGGGGTGGGAGGCCGGCGCCGGCACATCCCGCAGCGCCGGGAGCTTGGGCCGTGCCCGGAGTCGCTGTCGGGAAAGGACGGGAGAGCCCGGCCGGGGCGGCGGCTGCGCCCCCCGCTTGTCCCGCCGCGGCTCTCGGTGCTCGCCGCTCCCGGGAAAGGGTCTCGGTGCAGGTGTTTGGGAGGGCGGGCACCTTTGTGCTGCTGGGGCCCGGGGAGTGTGGGTTCCGGCGTTACCCCGCTGAAGGCTTCCGTGAAAAAGGCTCAAAGGAAATTTCCCTGCAAAGGGGATTGAGAAAAGCTTTGTGGAAACGCAGAGGAAAGAGGATATAGGTGTGGCCTGCCTTCTGGAAAAAACATTATGAGAGCATCCTCGAAGTCGGAATTGGAGAAACTTCAAGGCTTGAAGAAATGAGGAGGAATTTCTCTGCTTTTGCAAAATATCCCCGTCTGTGCACCTCGAGATGGGACAAGAAAGGGTCCTCGTACAGATGCTGCAAGTGGTTGTTACTTGGTGCATCTTTAGAAATGTGGGAGTGTAGGCCCGCAGAGTTGGGAATTGTGAAGTGTTATCAAACCTGGAGCTGAAATGGAAATAACTCCTGTTTAGTGCCTTTGTGGGAAAGTTTTCTCTCGGTGTGTGTGCAGGTTTTATAGTGTTGGCCGTGTGTTTCTCTACTGACTGGAGACTGTAAAAGCTGCTGGTAGAACCTTGGGTCTACAGACCAGTATTTCCCTAACTAGGGAAAACCAACCTTGACTAATACTGTTCCTTTCAGGGATACAAGCCTGGATGCCCTGTGCAGGTAGAAGTGATCACATTTTAGAAAATACCTAAAGATACATAAAAAGCTCACTCAGGAGTGTTTCTTCATCTTCATAATCTTTCCCTGAAAGAAATGCTGCTTTCCTGCCTATATTTTTCTGTGGGACCGTCACCATTCTTTTGTGGGCATGGATTTCTGAGGCTCTGTGAGATTTCATAGAAAGTTAAAGGAAAGGGAACTGTGCAAGTTGAAGATAACGAGTTACTTTTGAGTTTCCAGATTTGTGTTTAAATAGAAGCTTTATGTGCATTTAATAAGTGCAGACATACAATGACTCTTGTTTTTAAGAATGCTGCTATTCCATAAAGGGCTTTCACTTCTGTTAATGAACAGGAAAATTGTTGTCTAATTTTCTTTTCCTTTTTTTTGTCCATTTTCAGGCTGGAGCCCATTAACTGCAAGAAAGTTGAAATTCAGAAGCTTCTCTCTGTAGTTATGTGAGCAAAGAGAGTGTTATGATTTTTTAAATATGTATGCCTAGAAATAAGGAGTCTTATTTTACATCTTAATTCTTATTGTGGTTCCGTCAGTGATTTATTTTTTTGCTGCTGCTAATTTCAAGTAGTAGGAGAAGCTTTTAGGGAAGCAATTTGTGAAAATGGAAAAATCTGAGATTCCTTCCTCTTTAAGTTGTCTAAGCAGTAGCAGTTATGGTGAAATGATGTAATATTTTATGTATGCAGAAGGTGTAGAGCTTTCAACAGCAGAACTTGGTGTGCTTTGGAAAGAAAAGTGTCTCCTCCTTGTAGCAGAGGAGGTAGAGTCACACACTTGAAACACTTGTTTGCTGGGTGGCTCTGGGTAGATTTGCAGAATTCAGAGTAGAATCCTGGTCCTCAAGATAGCAGTCAGGTGTTCTGATAGTTAACAGCACTTCTTGGACTATGTCAGTTGAACCTTTTAAACTCTTCTGATCCTGAAAATAAAATTTGGAAGTAGCTTTAAAGTGGGTTAATATGGTTCAGCAGATTGATTGCCCTTTTGGCCTTGCAGATGGTGATTTGGGAGTGTTAAGGTTAGGTTAGGGTTCTCTTTTGGGTATGTGTAAAACTCTTCCTTCCCTTGCTTCTCCAGATGACACAGGTGGCTCTTGTGTACAAGAATACAATTTAGACTCCCCCCATAAGTTTTTTGGGGAATGGCTTGGGAATAGTCACTCTGGAAAAAGTAGGCAGAAGGAGGAAGAGCAAACAAAGAAAACTGGAAGAGTTTTCTGGTGGGAAGGCAGTAGATATTTTGTTTGCATTTTTGCTCATCAGAGAGAAACCTGATAACACCTTGATATTCTGCCATAATCCTCAGGAAGAAATCAAATAGCAGGACAGAATAATGGCTTTCAAAACAGAGTGATTGTCAGTGCTTTTATTTTAGGGTAATTGTGTTGTACTCTCTTGCATTAAACTTTGTTCTGTGAATAAACATCCAGTGTTTAAAGTAAACTTATTTAGCTTCTTTGACAGTGCAAGTTGTCAAGTGCACGTGATTGCTGCTCTTTCTGTAACAGTGTTTGGACTACACGTTCTTGTCACTTTTTCAGGAAGTTCAATGATCACCAGCTAAGGCTTAATGAAGCCAAGATCACCATGTGTTTAACTGGCAATAAAAGTTCTCAGATGAATTTTTAGTACTATATGTGGACAATGTGAAGTGGAAATGATCCTATCAAATAGCATTTAAATCTGTGTGACATTGTCAAGTACAGCTGCAGCAACCTTAGCCCGTTTTTCCACACAGTCCTCAGCCTGGGCAGACAATGGTCCTCCTAAGCTTCTGCAACACTGAGATCAGAGTTAGAAATGCAGTGTAAATCTCTGAGATTAAATGGTCAATTTTCATTTTCCAGCCATGACTAAACTCCTCTCTGAAGGAGAAGCATTCCTACTCTTGTAACAGTGCTGGATATTTCTGAAATGCTTATTGCAGTAGTGTTTAGGCAACTGTACAGCTTATTGAGAATGAAGAAACTGCTTCAGAGAACACAATGTGAAACCTCTCTGAAAATAACAGTGCTAAGTATGAATTGACGTTAGTGTCAGCTTCCACTTTATTTTGAGTTTTCACCTTCTTGCCTTTCTGATATCTTCTTAATGCTGAGTTCTTTGCTTACCCTGTTCTCTCTGGTTCTCATCTCCCATTTTGGGGAAACCCTAGTGAGAAACAAAATGCTGAAGCAAAATAAACCTATGATGCAGAATTTACTTTTCCATTTAGTACAGGTGATGGTTCAGGGCCTTGCTAGCTTTTTCTGGCATTTGTGGGATGGTATTCAAATACAGGAGTTTTGCTTTGGTTTAAGGTAAATAGTCATCGGTTAACTCGGGTTTTGCTTGTTAATCGGGGCTAAGTTTCAAAGTAACTTTTTGGAACTTTTTGATGATTGAAGTGAAAAGCAGTAGTGTTAATGTTCTGGTATGAGTACACAGGCTTCAGGACTTCAGCACACCCACCTGGAAAAGGAAAGTGCACAGGACAGGGCTGTCTGGCTGCTGAGGCCTGAATTTTAAGGTGACTCCTGGCTATGGTGGAAAACTGTCATGTACCTTAAGTTTCAAATCTAAGCAATGTGTAGTGGCATTACAGAGTATTTTGATGCTTTTCAACTGTAGCTACAGGGATTTTCTGATACCTTCCATCCAAAACAGATGGGTTGGCCTTGCTACTCGATTTGCTTCCTTTGATAAAAGTTAAAGAGCTCAGACACTCAACGGGTCACAACTCTGATGTTCCTTGTCTAAATGTTTTTTTGTTTCAAGTATGTGAATATCATGCTGCTTAAAAAAACCCGGTTTAGTTGCATAAGAAAATAATTACAGCAATCTACAAGCACCAGAGTGGTACTTGCACCAGCTTGTTTAGGAGATTTTGATCTGAAGAGAGAAAAAGTTCAGCTTTTAGAAGCCTGAAGTATAATCTGTTGAGCTCTTTTGGTTATGTTAGTTTTCCTGTTGAGAATGGAAATACCAGCTCAAGGTTTCACTACATCCATGAGTGTTTTCTTTTTGTTTGTGGCCTGAAGTGTAATGATTGACTAAGGAATTGAAAAGCCTGGAATTGCAGAGGGAAGGACTACACAGGAAATTGTGTGTTCATTTGTGAGCTCTGAGTGGGGGAAAAAACAAGGAAAGATTCTGAACATATAAAATCTTTGAGGAGCAGTCCTTTGGGACTTTAGAGTGCAGCTGCAGTACACGAGGGGATGCCTGAGAGCATTTCTCCTTGATAGCAGGAATATGAGTGGCAGTTAAACAAAATCAGTGGCTTCTGCTGAAGGCAGCTCTAAGAACTTTAGACTTCTGCAATTAATACTAAACCTGGACTGTTGCTGGGACTCTGTGTACCTTGAATGTACCTAAATTGTGTTTGTGGTGGCTGAAGTAAGTTGCTTGTACCTCTTGTCATCAACAAACAAACCAAGAAAACTCTTTTGCAACTTTCAAGTTGCAGCCAGATACAGATACAAACTCTGGCATGTGGAAACAGATTATTCCTCAGTTTGTTTGTCACTTGCAAGTGACCAAGTGACTACTCATTTATAATGTGAGCATGTTTGTTCCAGTGGCCTGCAAACTCAGGGGGAATACATCAGGTAAGCCCTAGTTAGTTACTCTTTAAATTGTCTTGACTCCACACTTCCCTGGGTTTACATGCAAATGAATTTGGAAACCCATTAGGAGGTGATGATGGTCACACTCCATCTGTTGCTTCAGAGCTGGGGTCCAGCTGTTTGAGTAGTTGGTCTCAGGACAGTGTCAATCTCCTTTCTGCTGGAACAGCTTCTTTTCAGAGGAATGACAAGGAGAGTATAGGAACTGTGGTTAATTAGAATCTTGAAATTTAATAGAAGTGCTAAAGTTCTGTACTAGAACAATCTTTTAATTCTGATTATCCTTACTCTGAGCTTATTTTATTAAGAAAAATAATATTCACTAGTTTAGTAGAAAAGACAAAAAACCCTGATGAGTCTTGCTGATCTTGTCCTTCCAGGTTTATTTCATCAATGGATCTCTTACTGACTTCCAGTTGGTATATTTTCTATGTCTTAAATCTAAATTCTATCAACTCTGCTTGTCCCTTTGCATTTGGGGTGTCTCTTGGTTGGGCTGGGAGACAGCAATCTCTCTTCATCATGGCAGATACTGGAAGAGGAGTAATGGTCAGTG